GCGGACAGCGGGCGGAGGGGGGGATGGAGGGGCTCGAGCGCCCAGAAAGCGGCGGCGGGCACGCGCGTGCATCGCAAACCCGCGGAAGCAATCCTCAGCAATCGCTTCTGCCAGCTAGTGTCAGAGACAGCGCCGAGCGGACCGGCCGCCGAGAACGGCACCAAGCACCAACAATGCTCACGCGGGCCCGAAGCGCTCGGATATACAAACGCACAAATGCGCGCACAATGCGCGAAGCAAGCTGCCGACGCCGAAAACGGCCAGCACCACCCCTAATTGCGAGGCAGTCTTCCCTAGACAGGACACTCTCGATGACGCGACAAGTCGCCTTGACTCCGGAGCCGTGGGATAACCCGGCAGGCCGAGCAAAACAGCCCAGGATATACGGCCCCTCTACCAGTTTGAAAACCACCCCTGGAGAGAAGCCCGTTCGGGGGCAGATCTCTCCTGGGCCCCCGCAGACAGGGCGCCCTGAAAAACGGCGCGCGTCAACGTCGGGCGCTAGGCGGCCCGCGCCCATCTTCCACGGGGCGCCCCGCTGGCGCATGAACGCGACCGGGATAACCATCGACCCGCGACGGACCAAGGCTTCGGAGCGGGGCAGGAGCCAGATCCAGGAAGTCACGAGGTTCTAGGCAATCCAGGGGGCGCGCGGGAAGATGCTGACGCAGGGCGCGGTCGCAACAAATCTTTCACAGCATTCAGGACATCAGCGAAGGCTTGCAAGCGAGGTTAGAAGTTAGGAAGGCAACAAATACAATTGTCAGCGCGCACGGGCAGGGCCCCATGCACGCGGCCGCGGCGCCGGGTCAAAGCGCCGCATGGGGAGCCAGCACCTCTTGCGACCACTCCTCGCCCAAAGCAGGATCTTGGACCTGCTGCCCAACTGTGAGATTATGCCACTCGCCCGGGCTTGCGCGCCGCAGCGGCGCCGGCATGCCAAGTCGGGCGCGCGCCTTGCCGAAGCCGCCGCGGCCCGAAAACAAATTGAGGATCGCTGGCGGCCCGGGCAGAATGGCGCCAATAACGCGCGTAGGCCGCCCCTGGATGCGCAGAGGCTGCGGCGGCGCACCTCGGCGCGGCTGCGCTGCGCGGCGCCCGCGATGCGGAGCCGCTCGGTCAGGGCGCCGCCTCTCGCGCGCCGCCTGACGGAGCTCTGCGACTTCGAGCGCGCCCGGCGGGGGGCGCGCTCCGGGCCACGCAGGTTAGCGACGCAGTCACGGCTGGGCCCCGAGCGGCGCAACGGGCGCAAGCGACGCGCGCCCAGCTTCCTGAGCCCCGGCGCCTGCGCCCCGCAGCGCGACGGCCACCTCCGTCTGGCTGATCGCGAACGGCAAGAGGTTCTCGGCGGCGCCCTCACGGCGCCGCGAGGCGTTCATCTGCGGCCGCGCCGTCCCAGGCCCCAGCTGGCGCCGCCCCGGGCCCCAGCTGGCGCTCGAGGTCGAGCCTCGCCGCCGCGTCGAACGCCCCTGTCATCGCCACCCCCGACCTCCTGCGCGCCCGGCGTCGCGGACAAGAAGCGACGTGCGTCGGGCAGGCACCGGCGGCATCGCGCCCGTGACCCTCAGGCCCGTGGATATGGATGAGCAGCCGCGCCGCGATCGCCCCGCGTAGTTGATGATCTCGGCGACTGCCTCGACGCGCAGCGCCGTGAGGCCCTTGGCGGGCGCGAGGTTGCAGCGCCCCTTGGCCGCCTGTTTGGACAGAGGCAGGTCGTCGCGCGGCCCCGCCTTGGCACGCCGAGGGCCACTCCGCGCCATCGCCGCGATCGCGCAGTTCGATCAGTAGGGCTGTCGTTGACCGAGCTGGGAAAACGCGCGAGGTAGATCTGTCGAGCTCGCCCTGGACCAGGCCCTGACCCTCGCCGCCCTGGCGCGAGTCCTGGGTCGGGCCGCGGTCGATGATGGCGCGGTGCCTGGGCCGATGGCGAATTTCAAGCACTTCGACATCTTCACCGATGCCATGTTGCAAATCCTGCGCCGTCGGGGGACATGTTGAGGACTCCGTCAGAGGGTGAAAGCCGAATCAGGCCGCCGATCTCGCGCAGAAGGCGCAGCAAAGCGCGACTGCGTGCTCTCGTCCTGCTCGCGGCCGAAACCAACGCCGGCGAATCGCCCAAGAACAAGGGCTGCTCCCCACGATTACGCACAGCGCGCAAAGCGCGTCGGACATGGCGCAGAACGGCCTGCAAGACGGCCCCGCCTTGGCCCCCCAGCGATGCTCCACGGATTATTTTCCACCGCGCTCCTCGGAACCTCCAGGGCGCCGGCTGGCCGCGCACGGCGGCGCCGACCCCTCGGCCGCGAGGTCGGGGGCGAGGGCGCGTGGATGATGGGGGCAAAGCGCACAGCCCGTCGACGCCGCCTCTCCGCATGGCGACCCACCTCGCGCACGGCGCCCACCTCCCGCGCGGCTTCGCAAGCGCCGAAGCCCCGAGGGGAGGCGTCCGCGCAACCAACAGGAGGGGGCCACTGCGCTCGGAGGTCACGCTACACCAAAGGAGTGACGCCAGCCCTGTCCATGAGCTCGTGCTCAACCTGGCCCCAAGGCGGGGGCTCCGCCTGGTAATGAACGCTTCTGGGCGAAGCGGAAGCGCGATTGGGAAACGCGGAAGCGGAAGCGGAAACGGAAACCCCTTTCGGCGCGCGAGAGCGACGAAGACCTTGTGGCCGAGGGCCCTCTCGAGATCGCGGCCACACGCGCGGCCGCGGGCCCGGCCCCCAGCCGCGAGCCGCGCGCGCCGCAGCCGCGATGCAGATGATGAAAAACAGCCGTCAGCAAGGAGCGACCGGCCCCGCGCGCTGCACTCGCCATCCTCGTCGCCGAAGTGAGCCCCCCTGGTCGCGATGAGCCCGCGTCGCTATAACTCGCCCGTGGCCCTGGTCACGCTGCTGCGCGCAGCGCGGGCGTCCTGGCCGATGCTGGCAAAGTTGTCGACGCACTGCATGTGGCAGGGCGAGCGAAGGGGCGGGCCGCCCGACGCGGAACCGAAATTCATCGCCACAGCCGCTCGCCTCGGCGACCCACCCTGTACCGGCTGGCACCTCCACGTGGCCCACGACCACCCCATGGGCACCACCCGCAGCGCGGGACGAGGCAAGCGGGGCCTGGGCATCGCTCGGACGTCCATTCCTTGTGTTTTGTTTCGGTTTCGTGCGTGGTTTTTTCGCCAAGTGATCAAAGATGCTTCTCGATGGTCCTCGCCGAGAAAAAAACGCACGCGTCCGAGCGATGCCAAGGGGCGGGGGCCTTCGCGCCCTGGCCGTCGAGCAGCGAGGTGCCCAAGGCCCCCGTGCGGACGCCGCGCAGCGGAAACCCACGCGGGGGTCGACACGACATGAGCCCGCCGCAACCAGGTTCGAACATCTCCCTCGCCATCGCTCGGACGTCCATTCCCTTTGTTTTTGTCGGTTTCGTGCATGGTTTTTTCGCCAAATGATCAAGGATGCTCCTCGATGGTCCTCGCCGAGAGGAAAAAAACACACGTCCGAGCGATGCCAAGCTCCCTCATCATCGTTCTTGTATCCATTGGGGGGCTAACGCGTGTTACCCCCGGAGAAGGGGGGCGCGGGCGGGGGGGAAACGGCAACGGCGGCCGCGGCGTCCACCCGCCAGGGTGAGCCTGAACCACCAACACATCAATCGCCTGTGCACCACAAGCCCTGGGTACACGACAGTGCCCAACGCCTGCGTGCCAGTCCCTGTGTGCACGAGAATTTGCCCAATGCCTACATGCAACACAGCGCCGCCCAGAGTGCCCCCGTACACCACAGCAACCGCGCGCACCACAGCACCTAGTCGCCTGTGGCAGGACTCGGGATGACGTGGGAGGTGGGAGAACTCGGACTCGGACAGACGTGGGTAGAGGTGGGGAGAGGCGGGGGGATTTGGGAGGAGGTTGGAGAGGAAGTAAGGAGAGGCTGGAGGTGGGGAAGGCAGGAAAACGTGGGGCGTCGGCTGTAAGGTAGGTCCGTGTCGCGACGCCCTTGAAGTTGGCTTCTGATACCACGTGGATCGTTCAATCTTGAACGGTCTGCGCAATGAGAAATTCTCGGCCCCAGATTGCACCATGATTTCGCACCGCGGGTTCGTTTTTTTAGAATCCTGGAGCCCGAAGAACCTCCCCCGTGCGCGTCGCAACGTTGAACGCCCGCGCTGGGGTCGCCGCCGCGCTCTCTCTGCGCCAGCGAGCTGTCTGAGGACAGGGACAGCAGATGACGACAACGAGAGCCCGCGGGCCCCCCCCCCAGTGGGGCCACCAAGCTGCGAGTGTGCTGGTATCCGGCTCCCTCCCCCTTGCAACCTCCTACTCCTCCTCCGCGTCCTCCTCCTCCTCCTCCTCCTTCTTCTTCTCCTCCTCCTCCTCCGCCTCCGCCTCCGCCTCCTCCTCCTCCGCCTCCGCCTCCGCCTCCGCCTCCTCCTCCTCTTCTCATACCATTATGCTGCGCCCCAGCGCTTGCGTAACCCACAACGCCTGCGTACACCACAGCAGCCGCGTGCTCCACGGCGCCTGTGTACACTACAATGCTTCCGTGCACCACAACGCCTGTGAACACCGCAACGCCTGTGCACACTACAGTAGGCACCTGCACATAGCGCCCGTGTACACAGCAGTGCAATGGCCCTGCGTGCACGTCGATGCCTGCTTGCCTCGGAGCGCCTGTGTACTCCTTACGGCATCATTTGGAAATTGCAAAGATTCACACGATTGTGCCCGGCTTGTGTTACGGGTGGGGTCTGGGAGGAGGTAGCGCGCGTTACCCCCGGGAGTATTACAAGAACGATCATATATCCCTCAAGACTGGCAAACCCAAGGCGATTGCAATTTCAAGGGTGCACTCCCAACAGCTGGGAGAAACCTCACGACTTGCACTGAGAAAAAGAGTTCCGGTCGTAAGGATGGAGATCTACTTCAGGCTGGTAACGGGAAGTGTCTGGAAACTGGTTTAAATGGATGTTTGTCGGACGGCGACGGCGGCGCAGCGGTGGCGGCAGGCGGCCTGGTTTGCCAGCACGGTCGCGGAGCTGGAGCTCGCCAGGAAGCTCCCTGCGATGGCCTTGAACATCGCCAAGACTGCTGACAGCACTTCGTCTGGGTCGTCGAGGATGGCAGCTGCCAACTTCATGGTGTCTTTCTTGAACGACGCGCCGGGAAAGCGGAAGCCTTCATCTCCAATTACGGGGTAGAAACACACGTCAAGATCGATTCCCCTCTCGAAATGCTTCAGTATAGAAGGCTGCTGCAGCACGTTGCTTGTGCACAATATGATAAGCTTCGTTGCGCTATCAGGAACGTCCCGCCCACCAAGAAGCACTTGTGGAATTTCGAAAGGGATGTGGACAAAACTTACCATCAACAAATGGGCCATGACTGCGGCTGTAGCCCCTGCCTCGAGGCTGCTCTCATCGTGGATGATCCACGTAGAATTTCCCCCAATGGAAGCCCTGTTGGCTCTGCCACTAGGGCCCCTGGGAGAACCTCTTGTGCCGCTGGGCGAATGGGAAATAATGCAATCTTCGAGCCGATCCGCGATTTCTTCCATGCTAACACTGGTGATCGCAGACGGAATGCTATAGCTGGTAATCTGAGGCACCCAGCGCAACGCAACTCTCACATCCTCGATTGAATAACCGTATCCAGTCAACACGCTGAGGTCCTTCGAACTATCCTCGTACTCAAAAATATACGCCTCGTCTGGCTCGGTGAAATCTGGGAAAACTAGTTTCACAGTTTGGAGCTTGCAGTGGTGAGCAGTGATCACCTCTCCCATGCACCAGGGGCGTAGAAATAACTCCTTCGTGCACAGGGTGACGAACACCTGCACTCGGTTTGCCACGGTGTCGAAGAGCGTCTCCAAATCTTTCAGGTCGTCGCAGTCCAGGAACACCCTCCGCCTGCTGCCCCCGCGGCTGCAGAGCTGCACCTTGAGCAGCCGGGCGCAGCTGCCGGCTGCGAGCTTGTGGTGGCACAGGAAGAAGTCGAACTCCTTGTCGCGCCGACGCAGCGCTGCGTGGGCCAGCTTCCAAACCACCGTGAGCAGGAGGCCCAGCAACAGCCCGGATCCGCCGCCGTGCCCCCTGCGCACGCCGAGGCGCGGGGGAGTGCCAAGGGCTGCCTGGCAGGGCCTCGGCCCAGCAGGGCCTCGGCCTCGGACCAGGGCTGCCCAGCAGGGCCTCGCTCTAGTGATAGGATGTTGCATGCATCCCTCTCCCTCTGGAGGCCACGACCCATCGTAAAATGATCCGGGCGAAAGGCCTAGCCATATGCAGTTGTGAACACCGCGTGGTGGTCACCGCGCCCCCTTATGCGGACACGGAACGCGTGAGGGGTGTGCCGCCGTGGTGGTGGTGGTGGTGGTGGTGGTGGTGGTGGTGGTGGTGGTGGTGGTGGTGGTGGTGGTGGTGGTGGAGCGCATGCGAACTGTGCCATTGGGACCTTAGGTCGAACTCCCTATGGGGCCACGAAACGTGTGAGGGCTGCACCGACATGGGCCTGGGGTGCGAATGCGAACGAAGCATTCGGCCGCTGCCATTGGGGCTTTCGGTGGAGCCCCCGATGGGGCCACGAAGCGCTGTACTGCATGGGGCCAATGCGTGCAGTTGCGGCCACCGGGGCCTTAAACGGAGCTCCTTGTGGGGCCACGAGACGTTGCACTGGATGGTGGGGGCGCACGCGGACGGTGCAGCAACAGCTTCGGTGAGGTTCCCTGTTGGGCTACAAAACGGTGTACTCGGCGGGAGGGCGCATGCGAACGGTGCCGTTGGGACCTTCGGTGGAAACCCCGATTGGGCCACGAAACATTGCGCTGGATAGAGGAGGCGCGTGCGGACGGTGCCACCGTAGCATTCGGTGGGGCTCCATGTGGAGCCACGAAACGCTGCACTGGATGGTGGAGACGCACGCGGCAGGTGCCACCAAGAGCTTCGGGGGGGCTCCCTGTGGGGCCACAAAACGGCGCACTCGGCGGGGGGGCGCATGTGAACGGTGCCATTGGGACCTTCGGTGGAACCCCCGATTTGGCCACGAAACATTTGCGCTGGATGGGGGAGGCGCGTGCGGACGGTGCCACTGGGGCCTTTGGTGGTGCCCCCAGTGGGGCCACGAAAAGCTGTGCTGGGCGGGGGAAAAGCACGCGGACGGTGCCATTGGGGCTTTTTGGATGAGTTCCGTCTGGGGCCATGAAGCGCTGTACTGGCTTGGGGGAGACGCATGTTCGGGTAACCTCCCAGTGGGACTACGAAGCGATGCGCTGGGGGAGGGGGGGGCATGCGGACGGTGCCACCGTGGGCTTCGGTGGAGCTCCTTGTGGGGCTACGAAAAGCTGTGCTGGGTGGGGGTGGCGGGGGGACGGGGGGCGCATGCGGACGGTGCTGCTGGGGAGCTCGGCGGAGCTTCCAATTTGGGCCACGAAGCGCTGCACTGGGTGGGGGACGGTAGAGATGGAGAAGGATGGTTATGGTGCGGGGAGGTTCCAGCTTGAATACGCGATACCATCGGGCCCAGGCGATGCGTCCTTCCGACCATGAAACATTCTCCCCAAATCATCAAAACTCCCTGAACCGCTCATCACCCGCGATCCCTGAAACGCCTGCCGCGTGGCCCTCCAAGTCAAGCCAGCAAGCATCATCACAATCGCGAGCGCCGAAAAATACATTGCTTCCCACTGCCGCGCGCCCCCACCCCCCCGCGCGCATGCATCGAGGGGCGGGGATGGGGGGTCGGGGGGTCCAGGATCGAGCCCAGGAAGATTCCGTCGTTCAAAGGACGCCACATTTTTGTTTAGCCTCTGGATCCAGGCTTTTACCGGCACAGACTTCTGTTCTGTCTCCTGTTCCAACTCACTGGAGGCGGTCACACAAATTCTGGAAATAGCGGCACATGCCAGCATCGAGGTAGAAGAAGCAAGCGAGAAGAGAATTGCAGCGAACAACATGCGCGACTCTCTCGAGGTTCCAGGCCCGCACCCACCGCAATGCCACAAACGCAAAATGTTTATTCTCATCGGCGTTGATAGCCAACGCAGTGGTCATCCGACTTTTAGTTTGGGCACAAGCATCACACGTACATGTCTTCACCAGAGCGCGCCGTTGACCAAATAGCGCTGGTCGGTCCAAATCTTGGGAGAATAATTTCAGTTAAACGGCAGGAGAACCGACGCAAGAAGGAATCCTCGGGAACTCTGATGGTTCACAGTTCCGGAAGGAAGCAAGCGCTGCCCACCCGCCCCCAATGGCAGAGCGCACGGCACTGGGGCCAGGCAGGATGGCAACGGAATTGGCGAGGTAGAGATGGTCCTGGCGGCTCGCGAGAAACAGCGCCCAAATGCGCATTTCGCGACGAGTCGGGCCAGGCTGGCGCATTCAGACCGGCGGAGACGCTCCCGAACGAACGCGCCAGGCCGGCACCGGTCCCGAGGGCGCCGCCCACAGCCGTCGCCGCACCGCCCCCCGTCTTCCTCCAGAGCAAAATTTGAGCGCCCCTCAAACGGGGACTCCACTAACGGGTACTTTGGCCAGTGACCCAGCGAACCCAACCCTTCCCGATGTGGGCAAAGCTGCAATGCAAGAAAAAGGCCCTAAAGTGGCAACTTTCGGCAAAAATTCAAAGTACCCGTTAGTAAATACCCGTTACGGTGCCGTTGAAAAATTTGAGCGACCCCGCAACCGGAACCGTCGCCTTCCACGCGTCGATTCCGCGACTCCCAAGCGCGCCGGAGAGAACGCCAGAACGCCCAGGCGGGTTCGCCATGGGGGGAAGATGAACGCTGAGCGACTCAAGATCCGCATGGACCAGTACATTTCGATCTATAAAGATCCTCTCGGGTCAACGACAGACGGCCGAATGTCCGCGAAGAAGGATGAAACGGTCAGAACTCCACCAGCAATTTCAAAGACACACCCAGAATCCAAGACTCGCTCCACGAAAATCGCGGCGCAATGAATCCGCATCTCCAGCTGCCCCCTGCGCTTCTGGCAAACAGAGAGCGTTTGCCAAGAGCTTCTTGCACCGCCGTGGCGGTCGCAGAGGGGGAGAGGCGAAGGCGGCGAAGAGTCCTCCAGCGTTCCAAGTAAATGCAGGCAGAGCTGCAGAAAACGGAAGGGAACAAGGGAGATAGATTTCAAATGGCGCGCCCACACCATCGTGAGAGGCGCAGCTGGACTCGCCCGACTCCGATTCCTAACTACAGGAACAACTACTGACAGAGTGAAAGGCCCCCAAACGGCCCAACCAATCAAATTCATATTCAAGAGGGACGCGAGGGAGCCGTATCAAACTCATCCGTGAACTTCTGCCAGAAAAGGATCTAGGCCCAGCGCGCGGACGCCAGCATCATCCTTCGACGTGCGAGAAAGACATGGGGATTCTGCGGGCCCCAAAAAAATGACACAGAGGGATGGGGTCCTCCCTCGAGCGCATCCCGAAGATCCCCCCACCGATCCCAATCGACTTCGCCTGAATACCTGTTCTTACTCTTCCTGGACAATTTGACGGACCTCGCGCGTCTTGAATAATAACAAACGGCGTCGAGGACAACTATTACGACGAACGCGAAGTGGCCACACGTCGGCAAGGTCCCGAGGATTGGTCATCTGGCACGCCTCGCTGACACATCGAGCTTCCGAAGGTTGCCAGGGGAGTTCGACGCCATGGCTGGGGGGGATACAATGCGATTTTCGTATGAAGGTCACGCGCATAGATGAGGATCAATATTCCTGCTGCTTCTGTCGCACACTCCGAAATGATTTCCTCGGCCACTGGTTCACGGGTCTGCGCCGCCAGACGATCTCAAAACCGAGAAGAATCAGGAGCCGATGCGCGTCTTCCAGCAAAACCGAGCTTTCCCCCTGGGTCGCCTGTCGAAACATCCGAACCAACGTCAATTACACGCCACTTGCCAAGAACCGAGTGAGAAGCGGGCACCTTAAAGACAACCAGCGAATGAGCGTGTTCAAATGCATCCAACCGGGTCTGAACCGTATCCTGCTTAGCAGGGGCGCCATCGAACCTGGTGCTCGGTTTCTTGACGGACTGCTCCTTGCATACCCGAGATCTTATTGTCGAGCATCTGTCCAGTTGCTTGACAAAGCTAGGCGAACACCTCCTCTGGGGTCGCAAGATCGAAGGCCATGGTTGCAGACGATCAGACGTGAGAGATGCGGGAAACAACTCGCACATTGGATGCTATACGGTGGATCAACAGCCACCTCGTGGCCACGGTTTTCGAGCCAGGCCTTTGGCTGCGGTCAAGCTCGACGACACAGGCCACTGGTTTCAAACTTGAGCAAAACTGGCGACGGATGGTGACGACGACGACGACGACGATGATAATGATGATGATGATGATGCTGATGATGATGATGATGATGATGATGATGATGATGATGACGACGGCGACAAAGACATGCGGAGTGCGGGGGGACGAGGCAGGGATGGGAGGAGGGAGGAGCGGGAGGAAGATGCGGGAGCGAGGGAAGGAGGGACGCGGGGCGCTCTCTCTTCAAAACGAGGATCCAACACCACAGGATGGTTTGGAAAACGTGGGAATCCGAACTTTCGAGGTCACATTCGCCAACAATGAACAATGGATCCGCGCTGCCGAGCTTCGAGAACGGCCGGGTCAGGAAACCAAGGTCGCCAAGATGGCCCTGAAATTCACCCAAGACCGAATTTGGCCTCAAGACGGCCATTAGATGCCTCCAGGAGGACCCCCGACAGGGTTTGAAGGAGCGACAAGTATGTGTTGTGTTGCTGGTGTTTCAAGTGCGATCGCATTCTTGAATTTTCGGGCGTCCGTCAGCTCCAGCCTCCTTTCCTGATTGGTATCGTCCCTCCTGCTACCTTCTGCTAAATGCGAACCAAACCTGGATCACTTCAGGAAACCAACCGTTTCTTCTGACCCTTTGGCAAGTGGACCACCTCCAGGAGGTATGGTCCAAGGGGCCCGCAAGAGGGTCTCGACACGGCCCGAAAGGACCCCATAATGGCCAATGGCCCCAGAGGCCTCCAAGACGCCACCAAGACAGCCAGAGAGGGCCTCGGGAGAGACCCAAGACGGCCTTGGAAGGCCCTTCGGCGGCCCCAGGCGTCGCCAAAATGGCTCCAGGACGGCCCCAAGCCCAAAGACGGCCCCAGAGAGCTCAAAGACTACCCAAGAGGGACCCGAGACGGCCCGAAAGGGCCCCCAAGACTGCCCAACAGGAGCCCAAGCCAGACCCAAGACGGTCCAAATCAGCTTCATGAGAGCTCCTCAGTAAGAGCAGACGAAAGAAGTCACATGAGACGGCCATCCTCCTCTTCTAAATCCTGTTCCTTATCCTGCTCCTGCTCCTCCTCCTCCTCCTCATCATCATCATCCTGGTCATTATCATCCTCGCCATCCTCATCACGGCTCCCCAAGCTGGGGGACACGAAATGTTGCACGAAACGGCCTCCTGTGCACCCTCGAAGAAAGGGCACCTAGAATGCTGGGCTGGCACAGTGGCGGGACTTGCCGCAGGCAGCTGGATATCAGCATGGCTGCCAACACGGCGAGGGCACTGTCTGGTGGGGCATCGACATAGAAAGCTGCACATCCCACGACGACAAGCATCGTAGTTGTAGACAAAATATCAAAACGAGTTGCTTGCGGCACACGCCAAGGTGACCAGTATACCGTACAGATCAGCTGTAGTAGCAGAACGCTTTGCATAATCAATACTTGTGCAGATAGGTCTGGAATGGCGGGAGTCAAGCCAATGGCTAGACTACGCAACATGTGCACAACCGAATACCAATAGCACTCAGTCTTGTATCTGAAAAACAGGAATGTGAAGGACTTGAGAACCCTTGTCTTTCCAAGCTTCAGTTTTGCTGGGAAGCCCCACACCACCTGGCAACACTTTGCCAAGAAGGCGAGGGGGAACAGTAAAGCTACCAGGCCGATTGCAAGCATGGCGGAATGCTCGTTGCTCTCCCAACAGATCACGGACTGGTAGGCACGCATGGTCCAGCGTTCGTTCGGGTGCTTCAAGCACTGGAACGGCCCCACAACTGTCGTGATGATAGATATGTAAAAAATCTGAGTGATAGTGCCAAGCGATGCCCAAAGAGACGGCAATCGGCGACGAAAGTTGCCATGGTGACGCCATACAACCACGGTACAGTGGTATAAAAAGAGCACCCCGAAAGCGACGAACACAAAACCAACTTGGAAGGCAAACGTGTTTAAGGGCTCACTACCGAAGAGACAATTGACATTCACAATCTCAATGTCGAACGCGACAAGGCTCACCCACCTCAATAGAGAAACCATTGGCTCCTTCCACTGGATCTTGTCCATCATCCCCAAGATGGCTATTTGCTGCAAAATCGTCAGTGCGATACTGAAGAAGAGCGCACACAGGAGCAACAAGTTCGCCAGACCCCCCCTGGGGCCAAGACTGATCACATCGGAGGGTCTGACATTTGCGACATTGACATTGCTTTGAACACTGGACCTTCCTGCCGTTCGCACCGTCTCACACTAACTTCACACTGGCCCCTGGACCGCAAAATATCGGGAGCACCGTTGCACGGAATTTCTGCTCGGATTGGGAAAGTGTTGATATGCACGTCCTCGCACTGCGGAAATCTACATGCAATGTACACCCCCCTGCTCCAGCTATTCCAACACTTTCTTCCCAACGCCACTCCTTATAGTCTCTTCCCAACGCCCCAGACTACTCGGGGGGGCCTGTTGAGACCAGCCAGGACTACTAGGGGGGCCATGTTGAGACCAGCTGGGACTACCTTCGGGGGCTGTCTGTGCGCAACTCGAAGCCCCACCAGGCGAAACCCTTCGGGCTTCTACCGATCCGGATAAATACCCCGGTCAGTCTAGCTCTGCAAAATCCGGCAGGATCCCGCGCCCCAGCCCCGGGTCAATGCGACCCTGGCCTTGCAGAAACCCTGCAAGATCTGGCGCGCTGGCTGACCCCCGTATGCCTTGGCCCCCGTCTCTACCAGCTCGGGCTCTTCTCGCCCGGGCTCCTCCGGCGCTGCCGTCACTGGCCGCTCCAGCCCCGCTCCCGACCTTCCCGGCCTGTCTCTGTGCGCGCCCGCTTTGTGCCGCCAGTGGCAGCAAGCGAGCGTGCACCACCACCGGGGGCACCTGCTAGGCAGTGTTTTCCGTTTGCGCTGGTTTCGTTTCCCCCCGTTCTTTCTCCGTTCCACCTTTGCTGCAAAATGGAAAATCAGACGGGAGACGGTCAACGAAATCGCCACAGCGACGTTCAGCTCGGGCCACGCCACCACCAGGCCAGCTCAGGTTTGCCTTCCCAGCGCGGCCCAGGAACGGTGTGAGTATGAATATGTATACATATATGTATATACACACATCCATACATGCATACACATATGTAAATATAATGCATATGAAATAAATGCATATATCAGAACCATCGCGCGCTTCGCGCGCGCTCAAGTTCTACCTGGACTCGTCAGGCTAACGCAGAGAATCTCAACTGTTGAAGTGCCTTGTGCATCGAACGACCCTCTTGGAATCCCTGCGCAAGCCTCGGAAGCGTGTAAAAGCGGAAGTGCGGAAACCACAACATCATCAAGTTCCTTCACGTGTTCGATGATTTGGGGTCATCGAAAGCTTCCTGGGATCTTCCTTCGGTGGTGACGGGGTCCTCAATTATGGCCTGTCGTGCGAAAGCAAGCCTGCGGTACATTTATTCTTGAAGTCACCTTGTTCTAAATTGCCATGCCTGGGCCGTGGGTCAGGAGTTTCCTGGATACAGGCCATGGGCTGTTGGGGCGCCTCTGGGTGCCTTTAGGCGGCGTCTTGGGAGTCTTTCGAGGCCTCTTGGGAAGCTCCTGCCTCCTGGAAGCCTCCCGGGAGTCTCTGGAGGCATCTGGGGGCCGCCTCGAGAGCCTTCACGAGAATCTTGGAGCCATCTTGAGGCAAAGCGCGAACCTTTCCAAAGAGTCTCCTGGGAGTCTCCGCAGGCATCTGGCGGGCACCTCGAGAACCTCTGGGAGAACCCTGGGGCCACCTTGTGGCAAAACGCTCGTAAGGCTTTGGGGGGTCCCCTCTTTTGCCTCTTTCTTGGCGCGCGCGCTGACGTTCTAGCTAGGCTGGACAGGCGAACTCATGGGACCTCGATTTTTGCTGTGGTTTCGAGGGCAGCCAAGAGGACACGAAGACGACCCAAGAGAGTGCCAAGACAGCGTCAGAGAGTTCAACAGCACTCCCGAACAAAATTTTGCAGTGTGACCCCGAAGCCTTGATGGTGCTCGGATGAACTGGATGTCCTTCTTTTGTTTTAGTAAGGCCTTCTAACATGTAGTACGCAGGCACCCGGGGGGGCCTCAGAGGCGTGCAGGGAACTCTTGGGAGGCAGTTTGGAGGCCGCCGGGGGACCGCTTTGGGGCTTCTTGGGGCTACTTTTTCGGGCCTCCTCGGGGCTCTTCGGGGGCCTCTTCAGGTTCCTTTGGGGGGACTCTTGGGGCCTTCGTGGGGCCTCTTCGAGCGGGAAACCAGGATGGTCAATTTGCGATCCCCCTGTTGGGCGGCTTTATGGGCCATCTTCGAGCTCTCTTGGGCTGCCTCGGGGCGCTTTTGGGCCGTCTTGGGCCTTCTTGGCTCGTCGTGGAGCCGTCTTGGGGGCGGTCTTGGGGCGGACTTGGGAGCCTCTTTTCGGCCTTCTTGGAGCGGTGGAAGCTCGAAAACGCGAGAAGGCTAAACATCGGCAAAAGACACCGATGACAATCAACGAGTTTAGCCTCTTCGGGCGCTCCCGGGACGTCTCTCGAAGCTCTCTCTTGCGGCCTCTCAGAGGTCTCCTGGGAGCCTGGAGAGCCGTCGTAAGTCTGTCTTGAGCTGCATGGGAGCGTCTTGGGCCGTCCATTCGCGTTCTGAGGACTCCTTGGTGGCATCTTGGGCCGTCCTGGGGTGCTTTGAGGCCTCCCTAGGAGGCCCGGGGGCGCGGTACCGGGATTCGCCCCAGGATGTCACGGAGGTGTGGGACGCTCCCGGCTGGGGGGGGCGTATTTGTATATTTATATGTGTATGAATATAGATGCACATGGATATACAGGCCTAGCCAGGGGCGTGGTTCGGGGGAGAATTCACGGAGGAGGAGGAGGACGAGGAGGAGGAGGAGGACGACGACGAATCCCTCATGAAATTTGGATTGCATCTGCATTGCAATTCCGTTATCATTCGATTGTTTTTCTGGCGGCTTTAAAATTATATTACTTCTGCACCCGGTTTACATTTCGAATCTCTTCTGTGGGGGTTCTGGAGACTTCAACTTTGCACGTGTTGCAATGTGTTTCAATGTTGATTACTCAAACAAACCATTCCGTCTAGTTTACACTTGCACAAAGATTGCAACTAAATTCCTGCTCTGGCGGTCAACATTGTTTCCGTTGCGATGTGTTGACGATTCAATTCCTTGTGCGGCGCGTTTGCAAAAAGATTTTCATGTGTGAGTTGATTTCCAATATAGTTCTTACCGAAGCGCATGTACATTCAATTATTTGTCATGGCAAATGTACATCACGATTCCTTGTGACGTGTGACGACAATTCTCAACCCATTTTGCTGGTGCGCCACAAAAAAGAAGACTCGATTGAGAGCTGGAAGAGACAATCAAAAACAACAGTCTTTGAATCAATTGAAGGAACAATGGGAAATTGAATATCCGGATTAATACTTTTGCATATGAAGTCAATCACAGTCCATAAATCATGCTGTTTTTTACTTACATGTATGCTGCGGCGGCTTTACTATTCGAATTCCTTTTCTGTGAGTGACTTAAAAAGTCAGGTCTTTCAATGTCTTTCCAATTTGTTCAGAATGTCCAAATGTCACTGTTCTTTTGGTCTCAAAAAACATATGTTTAACAATGGAATGATTTTTGTGGCGGTTTACAAAGTACTTTCCATTGCGATGAATCTATAATAGAATGCCTTGTGTGGTGGGTCCAAGATGGCCCCGAAATGCTCTCACAACAACCCAAAATTGATTCAAAACGGCCAAACGGTTCCAAAACCGCCAAAGAAGCCTCTGAGACGTTCTGAATTGCTCCGAGTAGGCCTCCAAGAGGCTCCCAAGAAAGCCCCCACAGGCCCCACAAAGGGTTCCCCCCTACGCCCGATTCGGCCGCCAATGGGTTACCACCTTTGGCACAGACACAAGGGTTTCCCCATGTGCCTGATTCGGCCTCGTTTGTGTTACCACCCGAGGTCCAGACGCAACGGTTTCCCGTGCGCCCGATTCGGCCGCCGATGGGTCACCACCGGCAGCCCGGACACAAGGGTTGCCCCGTGTGCCCGATTCGTCGCCGTCATCGCGGCCGTCGTCGACGTCGCTCCGACAAACGGAAAGGAACGTTTAGCCTGAACCCACCAAAAAACCCTTTATACACGTGGCGCTTATTTTCAGGACCACTGAATGCTGACTGGTATTCTGAAGGACCCGCAGTGTGCAAGAAGAGCACTCAGGAGTGAAATCAGAAGAGAGCATCAAGAAGAGAAACAGCAAACACACAAAATGGAAGCACAAGGGCGTTGAAAGAAACACAAAAGCGGGGGGCGGCGAGGGCTAAACCAGAACATCGGTTTAACTCAGCAACGCACTGCGCTGAAAGAGGCCAATGCATGAGGTGCATAACGGGGGCGGAGGATCACCCAAAAGTGGAGACAAAAGGGCGCGGCAGCGAACCCAAAGAAAAGAACCCAAAAGTGAAAGCAAAAGGTCGCGGACCCGAGGATAAGCAAGAGCACCCAATCACCGCGTGGGAGTTACCTCCGCTGGGCCCCTCAGGAGCCCACGAAAGTGGCGACAATTGCGCAAATCGCAAGCCCCCCAAGGGGCGGCGAGGTACCGAGGTGATCCGCGAGGGACGTACCTCCGCTGGGCCTCCCAGGAGCCCACGAAAGTGGAGACAACTGCGCAGATCTCAAACCCCCCAGGGGGCGGCGAGGTCCCGAGACGGTCCGAGTAGGACGTACCTCCCCTGGGCCTCCCAGGAGCCCACGAAAGTGGCGACAAGTGCACAGATCGCAAGCCACCCAAGGGGCGGCGAGGTACCGAGGTGATCCGCGTGGGATTACCTCCTCTGGGCCTCCCAGGAGCCCACGAACGTGGCGACAATTGCGCAGATCGCACGCCCACCCAAGGGGGGCGGCGAAGTACCGATGTGATCCGCGTGGGACGTACCTCAGCTGGGCCTCCCAGGAGCCCACGAAAGTGGCAACAAATCGCGCAGATCGCAAACCCCACAGGAAACGGCGACGTCCCGAAGTGTTCCGCGTGGGACCCACCTCCCCTGGGCCTCCCAGGAGCCCACGAAAGTGGCGAGAATTGCGCAGATCGCAAGCCCCCCAGGGGGCGGCGAGGTCCAAAGGTGGTCCGCGTATGACGTACCTCCGCTGG